GGAAAGCATTCGAGCACATTACTAAAATGGCTATGAGCATCCATCACGTCGCCATTCGAAACTAAGGGCGCGTTTGGATAAATGTAAGGCGACGATGACCCCACGACTTGAGGAGCAATCATCTTGTCGAAGCTCCTCCAATCGTCGTAAAATTGATTTCCAAAACTACCCGTCTCGTTTTCAATCTCCTCATCGGCCATAACACTATGCTCGAAGCTACTATCATTTGTCGTAAAGCTTGGGCTATCGAGCTTTGGTAGCTCGACCATTTGGCTCTCGAACGGGCCTTGGAGAGATTTAGTGGCACCCGAAAATAATGGGGTTGATTTGAAATTCGCAGCTTGATCAAGGGCCGGATCGCAATTAGGCAAGAGATTCGGGGTGCTCGGGTATGATGGGTGCTTGTAGGCATCGGCATTGTTTCTAATGTAGTAAGCGTTGTTCCAAGCTTCGAAGCCTTGCTTGTGGCTCGGGCTTGGCTTTTTGAATGCGCGACAAACGACCCATCCTTCTTCCTATTATATAATTTGCATCGAAAAAAATTTAATCCGATTACAACTATGCCGAAAAAACTATATTTCGAGCTTGTGTTCGAGCAAAATCAATTTATGATACTACTAACAAGAGACATATATAAGTAGTTTTCATTATGTGAGATTGAGATAAAACGGTAAGACTGCTGTTAGGCAGACCTAACGGTTAGACAATCATACTTTCATACACAAGTAACATATTTTAGAAAAACAACATGAAAAAAAGTATAAATTCGAAAAGTATGACTGGTCAACCGTCTAACTTCGAAAAGTATAACTGTTTGACGTCTAACTGTTAGGCTGGCTAACTCAGAAGTTAGTATTGTACAAAATTCTTGTGTTTTCTCACCTGAGAGGGTCCGACCCCAGATGTTTGGAGACGATATTCGTGCATGATCCAATCGGTTTTTCTCCCGTTTGGTGCTCGGCCTTTGTAGAAGACCAAAGTCTTTCTCATCCCTATAATTCTCTCCTTGGAGAGAATCGCCTTGTCTCGACCGGTTGCCTTCCAAAAGCCGGCTGTCGTCGCCCGATTGGTCCTTGTCCCAGTAGGGTACTTTCGGTCCTTGTGACTAAAGAAATACCAT